GCCATCTGGTTGCCATTCACAATTGATGGGGGCGGGGGGCGTGTTGTGTGGGGGGGGGGATTTACTCTCCTGGCCTTGGGGCGACAAGGAGAGTAAATCCGGCCCTGGTTGTCAGACCTCTCAGTCCATCTGTAGAGCTCCCTGGAGGTCCCAATCACCATGAAACCTGCCCCGTGTGAGCTGCAGTTGACACCTCCTCCAGTGACCATATAACATGTCTTTATTGAATAATGTTCCCCAGGGAGAGTGTGGAGTACACACAGCAGTCCATGGAGGAGTCAGTGAAGAAGGTGAATGAGATGGATGCCAACTTTGGAGGAACAGAAATTCTCCAACCTCTAAAGAAGATCTACCAAACAGCCGGGAGAGCCGAGCACCCCCGACAGGTAAGTGAGGCTGCAAAACATTGGGGAGACTAGATACCATTGAGTGTGGAGGAGGGGAGTTCCAAGTACTCGGGTTATGGGGTCACAGAGCCTACTGATAACTAATGTTTGAGTTTTGCCTGAAGACATCTTATAATCTAACTTTAGTATAAATCTATATAGTGTAGCGCCCATCACCTTTTGTGACGTGACTACCATGCATTTAGTGATATGCCAGGGCTGTAGACAGCCTGGCTGGATTTGTAGCAGCAAGTACATGGTTAATTCGCAGGTGTCTGACCTTGTCTGTGCCCTTGGGCGGAGTGGAACTCCGTCACATTGTGGGACAGCCAATAGGTGACACTGTAATGTGTGTACAGTGCAGCAGCCAGTTACTGGGCTTCTTGCAGCCAGTGGGGCCTGCTGACCAAGGGTACATATATTGGTGGGGGTGCCATGTGCTAGCTCTCTCGCCTGGACCAGCCATGGATTAGGGCTGGGTCCTGTTCAGCCTGCCCCCAGGCTAGGCCGAGGCCTGGGGGTGGGGATTGGCTGAGCTGCTGAGGGAGAGGTTTCCTTGGAGGCTTCCAACTTGGAGAATGCCTGAAAGATGGAAGAACCAGGACCAGTGCGGGCTCTTGAAGTGCCTTGGATTTATGTGGACTTCAGAGCGGGGTCGGTGTTCTTTCATGGATTGTGGACGTGTATTCCCTTGAAGATAAGATCTGGTGAGTCTGGAGCTAAGGAGGCCTGTGCACCTGGACCCTATACCCTCTCTCCCACAGAGTATGTTCAATAAACTGTTCAAATAGCATCATAATACTGACGTGGACATCAATTTATGGGCGGTTAGTGCTAATGGGTGCGGCTGAAAATCAACCCCTAGACTGACTAGATGAGGACCGGGCAATCAGCGGCTCCCTGCTGGGAGTTATCGCTACAATAGTAAGACGAGATAGTGAAATAATAAAGTATAAACAGTGTTGATGACCTGCGTTGCTCCATTGATCTCCTCATCTCTGTCCTCTCTTCAGCTTTTTGTCTTCACAGATGGAGAAGTCGGGAACACAAAGCAAGTGATCGATGAAGTTCAGAAAAATGCTCAGAAACACCGGTAAATATAAACATCTCTTCTACCATGAGCATGTTGCAATCTTTGATTCACATCTGACCTTGGAACCTTTGTTCTGTGTCTCCATGCCTGAAATGCATACCAGAGCTGCATTAGCCACTAAACTGTGCTACCAGGGTCTGCCATAGGAGAACCACAATTGGTAGTGTTAGACCCCAATATACATATTAGGGTTTATCTTGACAATAGCCAAAAACAAAGATAATAGACTTTGAATTGTGGGAGAAAACCGGAGTATCCAGATTGAAACCCATCCGAGCACTGGGACAACATGCAAACTCCATGTCAGTGTCCTGGCCGAGATTCATTCCATCCTTCTGTTTAAATTAAAATGTGACTGCTGCCCCCTTCCTATATCCCACATCTCTGTGTAGTTATATGGATTCCAACCGACCTCCACCACCTGCCTGCTGACGCGACTATGCAAATACATCGATCTATATATTATTGCATACAGCAGTAATGCCAATCTCACATTACCATTTTTAAAAAGATATACAGTATATACGTTGATGTTTCATATATTGCTTTTTTTCTATCAATAGAAAATCTTTGTTGTACAAGTAAACATCTAATACAACCATGACGCAGGTTTCACAGAGCATTATTAAAGGAGAACTATGAGGTGAGTGATTTCCACTCACCTCATAGTTCCAGCAGACCTGTGACAATGAGACTGTCACAGGTCGGCTCAGTAGATCGGGAGGTGAGCGAACACATACCGGCGTTCGCTCACCTCTCGATCCTGTCACGGCTCTCTGCCGTGACAGGGGAGGGGCTGGATTCCCCCCTCCCCGCTCCGGTCCGCCAGCGCTGACTGGCGGAATGGACGGAGGAGGGGGTGGTCACAGCTGGCTCTGCCTCTAGATAGGCAGAGCCAGCTGTCACTCACACAGCTGGGCGGATCTCGACATCAATGTCGGGATCCGCTCCGGCTGCGGCGTCTCAGTATACCGCGAGCTGTAGCTCCCTATATACTGAGCTTAGGGTAACGGGAGGACGCTAGTTTGTGTCCTCCCGTTACCCTAAGGAGAACTCTCCTTTAATTTTTTAAAGGAAGAAAATGGCAGAAACTGCTTGTCTTCAGACTGTCTGTCTCTGATTGAAACTAAATGTGAACTAATCAGTGAACAGCAGAAGGCAGATGAATCACTTATTTACTCATCAGCATATATGTCTGTATAATAACATTCCTGCTATGATGCCCCATGACAAGGACACATTAATAAATGTTTTCTTATGAGAGCCAGCAGCCAACACTTTCTATGGCTGCTAGCTCTCAATTCCAGCTGTCAGTAACCACCAGGGTCCAAATTAATGATAAGCATTCAATCAGAGTAGCTTCTAATCATGTGATCACTATTTCAGCTCTGACATAGGTTTCACTTGCAGGCTTGATGACATCCCCATCTAAATTATACATGTGAAGCTGTTTTTATCATTAAAGAGACTAAGTTTTCAACAACCCCAAACCCCAACCCTGCCCCCATACATTCCTACTAGCCCATCACTACAGTGGGCTGCCTCTCTGGCTAACAGACATGAGCAGAAGGCAGTAAGGGGCAGGCGAGATTTAGGACCATCAGGTGTGCTGAAGCTTTGCCTTCCAGAATGGTCTGATCCTAGAAGGCTTTCAGTTCTTTTCCTCCTGCACAGTCAATAGAAAGGAGTTATTAAAACTTCCTCCCCTTTTCAGGTGTTTTACATTTGGGATCGGTGAAGGAGCTTCCACATCCCTCATTAAAGGCATGGCCCGGGCAGGGAATGGAACCTTCGAGTTTATCACCGGCAAAGACCGCATGCAGCCCAAGGTAAGGGTAAAATGGAGGCCTTCATCAACAAAAATTGAGAATGATCTTCCACATGGGGACATGGACAACTGGGAAACATGACAGACATTCGAACCCTGGGCTCATAGGAATTGGGTTGAAAGTTGCTGGCCATCAGATTAAGGAGAACTAGTGGCAGAAACAAATGGTGG